AAAAAAAATATTGTGAAAAATAAAAGGTTAATTTTTGAACAAATTTAGTATTTTTTTTAAGAAAAATTATTTTTTAATATTGCCATATTTATCCTTATGCAAAATATTATTTATCAGTATTAAAAGCATATTTATATTTAAAGGATTAGGTACTCACTTTTGTTGTTCACTGAATTGTGGAGCTTCAAAAATTATAAACCTTTTCCTACTATATTATATTATTTTCTTTTAATAAATTACAGTAAATTGTATAAAAAATATTAAATATTTATTGATACGTGTAATTATTATGTGTACAATGGTTACACCTATAGAATTTTTACCTTTTACCAAAGTTCAAGGTTTTGGACACTTTAAGACAGTTTAGGACAGTATTACCCAGTTTAGGACAGTTTTACCCAGTTTAGGACAGTAAAACCCAGTTTAGGACAGTAAAACCCAGTTTAGGACAGTAAAACCCAGTTTAAGACAGTAAAACCCACGTGTCTTGTCCAAAACCAGTTTAGGACGTCCAAAACCCCAACCCTGTATAGTAGGTCTTAAAATATAGTAGGGTATTGGAAATTCTGTATCTTAATTTCCTTCCCTTAGCTGCAATAAATTTTATAATACAGATATTGAATATTGATCTATCAGATTTCATTGTGTTTTCTCTCAATCTTTGAAATAAATTTTTATGTAAATCTCATGTGTTTCAACTTAGTAGTTGTCGTATTTTTTAATATTTAAATTTCGCCATGCTTTAATTTTTGTATCTTATTTTTGTCACGTTTATTAAGGAAAGTATGAACACGGTTCTTACGTCTCGATGGTGCGTTAAGCCTGTCGAGTAAGCATTGATATCTAAAGTTTTATATCCGTCGTCGAACAGCCAACTCAATTTTAGGGTTTACGAATACTAGCGTTCAACTTCGCAGCCTTGTAATTGTGAACCCAATCCGGAAGACAAGGGAACTCCTGGATCAAGTATTGGGAGAAATTTCCTCTTGTGGGGGACTTTTTGATGAAACTGACCCGCATTTGCATTACATGGAGAGGAAGACAACGCAAAAACCTCCCTAGGTTAGCCTGACGGCAAGGGGACTCTAAACCATGATCCGTCTACCGCTGATGATATTTTACGCCAGTACTGTGATCCGTGAAAGCCGGATGCGGAATTCGTTTCAACCAGCCATCGCAGGGATTCGAACCCGGTTCACCTCAATGGAAGGTGAACGCTCTATCCCCTGAGCCATCGGTAGGCATTGATTGTCGGATCCATCCTAGGGGACCGATTGTTGGAAAAACAATGGAGTTTTGGGCTTTTTTGGCCGGTTTCCACAATCACAGGTTGCTCACAAGTTTCCACGCTCGAATCGTGACATCTCAGGGGATCGAGCATTCGCCATCACAGTGCTGACGTAAAATATCCTCAGCTGTAGACGGTTCATGGGTTAGTCCCCTTGCCGTCAGACTAACCGTCGGAGGCCTTTGTGGTTTTCCTCTCTCTGTGACGCAAATGTGGGTTAGTTACATCAAGAAGGCAAATTTCCCCCAATACTCGATCCAGGAGTTCCCTTGTCTTCTTGATTGGGTTGAAAATTACAGGGCTACGGAGTTGAGCAATAGTAGTCGCAAACCCAAAAATTGGGTCTGCTGTTCAATGACGGTTATTAAAACAAAGAGTTTCCATGCTCATATATAGATGA